ATTCGGTGTGGTGAATTATCGGTGTGGTGTGTTATCAGACCGAATAAAGTTTTACCAGAGCGAATTTTTCTCTCGATAAAATACACATAAGTATCAAAGTAACAGTTTCGTTGTTTTTTAATATGATGTCACACTTCTTAAAGTTTGTCATAGAAAACATACATTAATTAATGTCTTTATTGTATTCCATTCTGTCCTAGTATAATTTATGGTGTATCCTGTATTGACCTTTTGGGAATTTTGCATGCAGGTGCAAAGAAACTTTGTTTGCCTCCGTGCACACATCCTATCGACATTCAAGTAGTTTTGGAAGAAGACGGAACGGTAATCGATGATGATGAAATTTTAGAGGCTCTAAAAGGACAGACTCTGTTGCTTCTTACAACGGACGAGTCGTGGGGTCCAGCAGAACAGAGTATGCCCTCCTTGCCAGCAACACCACTGGCAGTAGCATCCACTGGATTGCCTGAACGCGAAGATGTTTCTTCACCAGTGGGCTCATCACCTGCAGCGTTTTCACCAAGACCCATGGCCGGCAACACACCATCTGCTACAGTGGGTTTATCAGTTGAAAATGTTGGTATAGTATTTACAATACAATTTTGATGTTTGTATAGAAATGATGGGACGATGATCGATTATAATTGAAAATCGATCGAATGTGACAGTATATTGATTAATCAAAAAATAAATTTGTATAATCAACTAATCACACTGTTTATTGGTTAGGTGGTAAAGTATTTACTAGGCCAGAGTTTTATTTATAAAGATCAAAATTTGTATTTCATAAATATATACAGTTAAACAAATGAGCAATTCCCAACTTAACTGGAACAACAGAAGGTCTGTTATTTTAACTGGCTGTTATTTTAATGCTCATACTAATGAGGAGGAAATACTTACAGATATTAATAGACTGATATTCCGATTAAAATCGATATTCCATCAGAAGATGCTTTTCGATTGTCCCGATTATAAAAATTCAGTCAGATTCCCAACACTTGTAAGTTGTATACTACTAAAAAATTCTTTGGTTCCCCTTGGTCGACCCTGTTTTTTGCAGATGGGTAGGTAGGTAAGTTCTTTTTTGAGAGAAAATAAAAACACATACATGAATTTTGTTTCGCAAATCGTAGTTAGTGCCAAGGGGAACCAAATTTATTTTTTTTTTTGGCTTTATGGTGAGAGGACAACCCCTATTGCTTTTCAAGGTCAAAGGCCAATGTCACAATAGGTAATATCATTAAAGTTAAGGAGGTGAAAAATCATAAATATTATAGCGCTCTCTGACTAGGTGGGGAACGATTCACTGGTGCTTATTATATCATACAACACCCGTATCGTCCTAGCCCTACGGCTGATACTGATAGTAGTTGCTCTTACTATTTCCCTGATACAGTTTGTGTGAGTGTCTGTTCAATTGTAACTGACAGGCAGTTGGCTGTCAAGCTTGCAAATACAGATCTGAGCGGTCATCTGACTTCTTTTCCAACCATTAAATACGCGGTCTTCGAGTGCTTCCCCTCACAAGATTATCCCATGGCCCGATGTCCGGCGTCTGTCTGTTGACAGCGGACAGTTCTAGTTTAAATTACTGATCAGAAATTTTATTAATATTTATCCCTGCATTATTTGAAAAAAATTACGGATCTGATCTGATCTGATCATGCCAGCACCCCCGCCGGCCGGTTGGAAATTCCAACAACCCCCAAAATGGTCAAGAAAAAAAAGTGAAAACTTGGTAAAAGGTTGGAAACCAAAATGGGCCCTTCAAAAATTTTGGAAACCGAAACTAGGGGGGATAATTAGATAATTCCATTAAACTGAGGCTGGATGACAATATGGCAGCGTGCAGCCCTGATATGCGATGCCCCTTCCCCCCATCGACTAAATCTAGTTTATGTGTTTCAGGATGTAGCTGATGATGACATTCAGCGGGCACTCGCAACGAAGGAGTGTGAGACACCCCATATAGTGGCATTCCTGACGGGTGGAGAGCTGTCTGGGATTTACATTGTTGGTGACACTGTCCATATAGAAATCAATAAGGCTGGCGATGTCATGGATGCACTCTTGAAACTGATCGCGACATACTATGTATTCGACCTCGACTACCCAAAAGAATATGCAATGATGTTGGCCATCCTTCAGGTGTTTATCACGGACGAACCGTATAAACAAACAGTTACAAAGGGCTTTAAGATGGTCGCAAAAGACCTCCGAGCAAAGTTGAGTGAGCTTAAGGAAACTGACCAGGAAGAAAATTCCAACACTGGTGGACATTTGGATGGTATGTGAATGAGATATTGGTGACTGTGTGAGATAATCATGGCTGCTATACTGTGCAACGTTACAGGAGACGATGATGTGGAGCTTGACTGATTGGATTATTCTTTCCATTAGCTCAACAGGTTCCTTCATACATATGGATAACAGGACAAAGATGGTGTTGATCTTGTATGATCAGAATTATTGGACATTGGCTTGACATGAACCAACAATCAGTACAGTATATCAATGCTTCCTTTCATGGTATAATAGGTACTTATCCACTTGTATTACAGGTATAGTGAGAGTCTTCTCTTATCTGTGCCTCATGTATCTTCCGTTGTCTGGTGCGAGCACCCGAAAGTGGTCTTTAAGCTAACAATGGGTGAAAACCAGTGAATATGTGCCAAACTGATGGGTTGTATTTATCCACCCACTGTTTTCGTGTGCGTCCATTCGTGTCCACGGTTAAGGTTTTTGTACAAATTTTGAAAGCAAAGTTAGGGGAGATAATCCATTTTGTTATATGTGTAATAGTGTAACTACTCCAATGATATTGGACATAGAACCGTTAAACTTGTGTTATGAATAGACCGTTGATCTCGGATGTGCATTTTGGAAGTTGGATATCACATTAACGAGAGTCCCTAGGGGAGATAATCCATTTAGTTATATGTGTAATAGTGTAACTACTCCAATGATATTGGACATATAACCGTTAAACTTGGGTTATGAATAGACCGTTGATCTCGGATGTGCATTTTGGAAGTTGGATATCACATTAACGAGAGTCCCTAGGGGAGATAATCCATTGCAATGTATGAATTTTTTTACAAGTTTGTGGGAGAAATGTAGGTTTTTGGGTTGGATAGATTTGTGTATATTGGGTTTACCCAAACACAAACATC